AGGGCTTGCTCAGGGCCCCTCAGTTTTGAGAGTGGAGACACTTTCATCCAGCAGATGCAACACATGAAAATATCTGCAAAGATGGCCCCATGCGGATTCCTCTCCTCTAGCCCAGCGGGCAGCCAGCCACGAGCCTTTCCTGCATAGCATTCTCCATCACAGGTGATTCCTCTTTCTCTTCACACGTCTGCGGTGCCCACTCTCTCTAGGGAATAAAGGGCTTGGCAATAGCACTGCTGAGAAGGATCTGGGGGATCACAAACTGAATATTAGCAATTGTGAAAAAGACAAATAGTCTGGGGTAAATTAACAAGAGTGTCATATGTAAGACACTGGAGATAATTGTTTTGTTCTAGTCAGCATTTGCGAGGCCGCAGCTGGAGTATTTTATCCAATTCTGGATGCCGCACTTTTAGAAAGATGTTGACAAATTAGAGAGAGTCCAGAGGAGAACGACAAAAATGATACAAAGTTTGGAAAACCTGACCTGTGAGGAAAAGTTACAAAAACTGGGCACGTTTAGTCTTGAGACTAGAAGACTGAAGTGGGACCTCATAACAGAGGGCAGTGATCAGATGTTCTCCATGTTCACTGAAGGTAGGGCAAGGAGTGATCAGCTTAATCTTTAGCAAGGGCGATTTTGGTTGGATATTAGGAAAAACTTGCTAACTCTAAGTTAGCTACCTGAGGCAAATGGGTCTGTGACTGGAACCCTCCGATTCTCTCTCAAATCCCCAGAGCTCCCCTGATCACTACCTGCTACTGCTCCCCACTCTTCCTCTTCCTCCTCGTCAAGGTTCCCAAACACCCTAGGAACCTCTGTTCCATGCGCCACATGCTGCGAGCTATGGAAGCCCCCTAGTGCCTTGCGAGGTGATAGGAAGGCAGAATGTTTCCAGCTTTTCCCTGTTAGCATTGTTGCCGGCTCAAAGGGCCCGAGGAGGCAGCAGCGGGGTTCGTTGCCCGGTGTGCGCCGCACTAATAGTCACACCAGGGGTGGAGAAACAAACCGACTTTATTCAAGAGCTCTGAATAGGCACTAGGAGACCAGCATGTCTCAAATCAAGCGCAGCACATACAAGCAAGTTTTCCGTTTTATATTCCAAGCTGTTTCTGTAAGCTTTTGTCTGTTTTCACCCCTCCCCCTCCCTCCCAGACAACAGTTACAATAGGCACTACATTGGTATGTGAGAAAAGTTCCTGTTCATCTGTTTATCTGTGGCCTTCGCAGGTTAAGACGTAGAGGCTTTTCCCTCCTCCTTCCTTTCCCCCGCTCTTATCTCTACTGTGTTTGTGAGCGAAACTACAGCTGTCTGCTAGAAAAGCTGACCCTTACATTTCTGCTTCAGCCTGCTTCAGCATGTAAGCAGTTAGCATAGACGTAGGTGAAAGTTCACAAGATGGAGTCACTGTGGCTCACTTAGACCCAGAGCGCAGGAGTTTCATCGGCACTTATGGCCTTCCACTCCCCAGAGTTACCTGGTAGCTATGCCTAGTGACACCAACAGCATGGAGCATCAGAAGGCCCTGCAAGAAGACCGGTGTTTCTTTGACAGTCTCTTTCCTCCTCCTCTTTCCAGGAGCAGCCTTTCTCCTGGCAATGGACAAGTGAACTCAATTGCAAAAACAGTCACCTTCCCCTGCCCTGCTTTGCCAAGGGTCTGTGACAGAACCAGAGAATCATCTGAGCCATACAAGGGTACAAGCCCCCTTCCCAGGCAGAATCCTTCCTCCTGCTCTGCCTCTGTAACTTCTTTGAGGTTTATTTCTTCCACTGTTACTTCAAACCCTACTGCTGGAGCAGGGCACAGTGCAAGAGGCTGGAGGTTTTCATCTCAGTTCCCCTTGTGGATGTCTCACTGTGATACACACTCTGCTTACCATCCCATGTATAGCAGTAATAGTCAGCCTCATCCTCTGCTTGGACCCCAGAGATGACTAAATTCCAGAGGTTGTTGGAGGTGTCAGGAGAGATGGTGAATCGCGCTGGGATCCCTGTGCCCCTGCCCTGGTCACTGCTGGTGTAATAGTGGTACACAAACCGTGGGGCACTGCCCGGCTTCTGCTGGTACCATCGCACCCTGTCATTGCCGATGCTGTACCCACTGCTCAGAGCACAGGAGAGCTTTACCGTCGTTCCTAGAGGATCTGCCACTGAGAGCGGCTGAGTCACCACCAGCTGGGAGCTGGCGCCTACAACAACAAGACCGTGCACACAATTGCCACAAATGTTAGCCTCAGCTCTCATGGGCCTTTACCTCCCAGAAAAGAGCCTTGGGCCAGCAAAGCCGGGTCTAGCGGGGTGTCCTTACCTGTGCACCATGCCCCCAGGAGAACAATCACAGGAGCCCAGAGCATTGTGCAGAGGTTTTACGCACCCGGGAGAAGCTCTTCAGTCACCCGGGAACCTGCTCCATGCTCCCGGCTTAAATTTCCCTCAGCAGAACCAT